TAATCAGCGCCAAATATACTATTTACCTCAAAGTCTCTACCAAAATTCAGCTCTGTCGGAGTTTTCTTATTTGAAATATCTATTTTGAGCGGACTATTATTCATTATTTTTATAATAATCATATTATTATATAAAGAAGTTTTGTACATTAACTTTTCCTTATATTTTTTGTTTTGCACTCATACACTGTAGACACATCACAGGCACTTTTTTTTTAATTTAAAGTCAAATGTAATAAGGCATGCAATAAGTTAAATTGTGATTGAAAAATAATTTGGGTTTGCCAAAGACAGTTGTGACATAAGTTTAATAGTAATATTCAAAAAAAAAAAACAAAGGCAATGATTAGAAATGTCTAATTTGCAAATCTATCAGCTTATGTAAAAAAATTAAGTCATCGAATTTTTTTCAGGAATGTCTCACTTTATTATCTTGACTAATTAATAAATCTACTTGGTAGTTCAATATTTTGAAAGCAGCCCTTGCAATGTTAGCGTAGTCGGCACCTGAAGTTTAAGTACACATAAAACTCATTTTATTAACGCTTACGCCGGATTGATCAAATTACTTTTAACACGGAATTTTAAAATACAACTTAACTACGTAGATTAATGCATTACGAAAACAATCACTGTAGTTAATTTCGTTACAATCAAAGCGATATAAATGACTGGTGTTTTCTACAAAAATATCAGTGTAGTGCAAATCATATTATACCACAGTTACTTGTCAGTAGTTCTCAGTTGCACGAAAATGGTTTCAAAGGTAATGACTACATATTATCTGTGGCGTATTAAATAGTATATTGGTTGAAAAAGTTTTAACAAAATTTTGACAACTTTTTTTTAGATGTTGGCTTTAACTCTAACGTTCATGATGGTCGCGCATATCCATGGCTATGACCATGCATTTTCGTCGAATCACATATCGCGCCACGATGGACATCATCACATAGTACACCACGAGCACGGGCATGACCATGATTATCATGTACGTATTGAAATGCCTAACACCCTATAGTTCCACTAGCTTTATATACTGTTTAGTCCGAAACACAGCAGTGCATGCACTGCTATTGGCAGCAAAAATGAGTAAAACTTGGTACCTATCCAGGCAGATTCCTAGGCAGAAAGAAAGTCTTACCATCTAATAAAGTTTGTGGTTACAGGCTATAAGGCATTTTATCTTAGTCTTCAGAGGTGACAACAATGAAGGATCACTTAGTCTAAAATATGTTTATTTATTATCAAACGAATTAACAACAAGAATATCTTTTTTCCTTTTCGTCTCTCCTCTCTTTCTTCTCTTCGTTCTTTCTACTAAAAAAAAGGAAAACAAAATATCAATTCTTTTAAATTAATTTTTCAGTCTCACCCTAAATATGAGTTTGAGTACAAGGTAGAGGACCATCATACAGGCGATATTAAGTCGCAGCACGAGCACCGCGACGGTGATGTCGTGAAGGGTGGCTACGCGCTACACCAGCCCGATGGTTCAGTCAGACACGTTGACTATCATGGTGACGATCACAGCGGGTAAGTGTATTATGTAATTTTCATTTCATTTTCACTTAAACTATCGTAAGTTCTTCTATCCAAAATGTACTCCTTACTAGATAACACATAACTAAATTGTCCTGCCGATTCTTAAAATCTTATAATCAAAAATTGTGTTAATTATGCAGAATCTTACATTTAGGACTGTTTATGGATTGATGATTTTAAATAATTATATAATATCATTGTATATCGATTCTAAAAAATCTTATTATATAATGTTTTATTTTTGTTATTTTTCAGTTTCCACGCCGATGTGAAATACAGCACCCATCACATAGTACCCAAGCATCACCATTATTAAATCCGCACAAATTAGGGAATGATGTACCTTTTCTTGCCTTCTTTTTTACCAAAGCATTAAAAAATAAACAACACATAAGATGTTTTTTTTTATATTTTAAAATTATTTAATCTTTTACCTAATATATTTTGTAATATTATGATAGATATACACAATCATATATAAATAACTTCGAATAACGTTAAACTCGATTCACTCGAGTCCATTCTGGAATGTTTGGATATTTTAAAAGTAATTGATATATAGAGTTATTTTTAAAAGATTAGCCAAATTTTAATATTAAGTTCAAATATATAAATAATGATAAATGCAGTTTTTGAAAATAATAGTAAATAAGCCTTCTACTTTTATTTGAAATTATCCCAAATTGAATATGATTTATATGATTTATGGGTAGTAATAACGTTTTTGCCCACCGATCGGCTATTACGAATGTGTGTGTGCGCAGTAAAATCAGTTAAAATAGTGCATTACCACGCATTTTGAATTTAAAAGATCAAAAAAAATGATTGAGATTTTTTTTAATTAATTTTTCTTTACTATTTGCCGATATTACTTATTCTGAACCTTCCCTACACATTTGGCCGGTTATTATATATCTCAAATAGCTGTAGAAAAATTCTAAATGTATCTTTTAATTTAATAACTTGGCTACGCCTACTTAACCCATAATCCTTTATTAGTGATAGTCATAATAGACCTTGTGAAAGCTGCAAAAAGCCAACTGTTTTTCTATAAACAATTACAATTTAAGCTTATAAAATACATAAGTAAGTGAAAGTCTAAGGAAGTTCTATATGTTCATCACATATTCTTAGCTTTTAAATTATCAACTAATTTATAATATCCTTTCAAATCAGTAGTATTTCAGGGAGTCTTGGTAAAAATAGTTATACATGTAAAAAAATTAAAAGCTTGTACTTTAAAAAACAATAAAACTACTCTGTAAGTTCAAATTTATAGTCATTTATTTGTCAAAAGTACTAAAATAATTTCCAACATAAACTCAGAGAGTTACATTATGTAATTGACTAACTGCAACATTTTATTTTAACCTAACATATTATTAACTGGCTTACTGCATATATTAGATTTAGACACATCAGTGAGTCAACCAAGTTCGGACACGAAAAGGGCGATCTACCGACAGTGGGTACATTTACAAGAACTATTAGACTCACACACTTGAAATTTTGCATACTAAGTAAGGAAACTAACATACCTAGAAACTAAAATTTCATTAATAAACTTAATGCTCTTTTACAGTTTTTATGGTCTGAAATGTGCCATTTCAATCACTTACTGACCTACGTGTATTGTTTCACCGCCACTACATGGTAAATTTATATCACATAACAAAAATATATAATTTGGCATTACAATCTTACAATTACTTTTAAAGCAGCGATCATAATACAGCTCATTGTATGAGAGCATCTTTTGTCCACAGTAATATTACATTTATCCTGTAATTTGATTTAGGTATTCGTTAGCGCAACGTTGGTGCTTATCTTCTCAATAATCTAGAAAAAAAATAAAGAATAGTACTCTATACAGGAGTGATCTAAACAAATTTTAAAATTTAGCGAATTTATGAAAATCGAAATATTGATAAGATAAAATAAATGGTCTTTATTGATCATTTTAAGTCTAAATAACGTCACATTAATATATCCCAACCAGGCGAAGGCAGAGCAAGTCGCTAGTTATAATTGGTATTTCAAAATTTTTACTGTCCGGTTTTCAGACACAATACTATGGCAATAGCAATGGCTTATATTTAGTGCACAGGACAGCAAAAGGGTTAAAATTAATGTAGGTACCTACTTGCGTATATAACTTTTTTATAGGATAAGGGTGACAAACGAGCACACAGTCCACCTGATGGTAAGTGGTTGCTGTGACCCATAGACATCCACATCTATCCTCGATGCGATTCAAAATGCAGATGCGTTGTCACCCGTGAGGACTAAGATGGGGTGCCTCATTTCCAGTAAAAAGTGTCTCCGGTTCTTTACACTCACCATACGAAACACAGCAGCATTAAGCTGCTATTCTACGCTGGTATTCTGTGAGAGCGTGGTCCTTCCCCGGTCGAGCCGACCCATTTGTGCTACAACTATACCAGTAATATAGCTGCAGCATGACTCTACCACGTTAATTTTTAAAATATTTTTATTTTTTCACCTGATGATGCCTCGATATTATCGATGGTGGCGTGTCTTTCCTAGTGTTGTTGAGGGAGACCGGGAGATTGTCTTTAACCTAGGTAAGACACATGATTTTGTTTTATTACGCAGATCTTAGCTAATTAATTTATTAACATCTTTAATATAACGGATTTCCGCAAAGTTATATTGCGATAATAAGTTTTAGCAATCAATTAAGGCAACATGTTCTTTTATATTTATATAAAATCTAGCTGTTCTCCGCGACTTCGCACGCGTGGAGTTATTTTTCGCGAAACCATAAAAAGAGCCCAAGTTACTCCTTATAACATCAGCTATCTGCCAGTGTGTATAAATATTAACATTAATATTTATACGATGCTAACGTCTCTCAATTGTTTTGCCTTCCCGGAACCCCTCCACTAATATTTAAACTTTATGATATGGTATTAAAGTTCAAATTGACTTTTAAGTATTATTACGAATCTTTTGTATGGGAATATTGAAAAGTGTTGTTTTTAGACTTTTTCATGCAATGTTTTTAAATTTTTCTCTCCGTAGGAACAATCTTCGTACTTCAAGGAATATTATAAAAAGAGAATCAGCGAAATTGGTTCAGCTGCTCTCGAGATTTGCGCTTAGCAACATATTCAGCGATTATAGATGCACATACATATTTCTATCAAGATGTAAATTGTAAGTACTATAACCTATTTTAGTGGCGTGAGATCATCAATTATATTAAGCTACTGAAATAATCAATTTAACTTAATAAGCGCATAAATTTAATTATTATAATAGGTTCTTACAAAGTTGTTATCAAGACTTAGACGAGACTATTAGTAGTGAAATCAGTTCAACCTTGATTACATGCAAGTGTTTTTTAATATAAAGGTGGTAAAATCTATTCAACATGTATCAGTTCCAAGTATATTTCGTGTAGTACCTACCAGCAACAGTTAAAACTTTAGAATGTTCTCAAAGGTAAGAAATTTTAATTGTTAAAATATTCTTACATAAAACTTATTATATTTCTTTCACATATTTTAATGACGAAAATAAAAAAATAAAAGATATATTAAAATTCCAGGTGGCATGTTTTGCGTGTCTCATCGCTATAGTGGTCGCAGAATATTTCGGTCCCACACTTTCATCCAAACACATCTCTCGTCACGATGGACAACATGAACCTGTGCACGTCTATGAACATGGACATATAGATTACTATGTAATATTATGTAATTCAATATATTTATATTTATTTATATATTTATTGCTTTTTAGATTTGTTTCAATAAAAATATTTTGAATTTCGAATAATTTTAGGCTTATCCCAAATATGAATTCGAATACAAAGTAGAAGATCATCGCACAGGCGACAAGAAGTCACAACACGAGCACCGAGATGGTGATGCTGTGAAAGGTGGCTACTCGCTTCAGCAACCAGACGGATCCGTTAGGCATGTTGATTACTACGCCGATGATCATAGCGGGTAAGTATCATTATGTATGTATACATGGTTATTTTACAATAACCTGCCAAATTTGCAGAGAAAGTTCAGAATAAGTATTTAAAAGCAAATGGTAAAGAAAAATTAATTACAAAAAATCCCCAATATTCTGTCCTTTTCTTCTTTTAAATTCGAAGTGTGTGGTAATGTATTACTTTAACTGATTGTTATTCATAAATATCTAACGCATACTATTTTACTACGTATGCACACATTTGTATGGGTCGATCGGTCGGCAAAAACATTGTGAATTGAATCGCACACGCGTAGTTGTTGTCCAATTCAAATAAAAGCAGAAGCCTTAGTTACTCAAATTTTCAAAAACTGCAATAACGGTATATCTTTGAAAAATAACCCTTTTTAAAGTCCTGATATGTGCGTTATTTTACTGTTTTATTAGAGTAGGACAATCTTTTTACCATCGTTTTAATAATACATCATCAATAATTATCACTAATAGTTGAAAACCACTTGGATTTTGAAGACATAAAATAAAAATCTATATTATTTAAATCATTATTGAAAATCTAATCAGAATCATTGTCAGCATGAAACTAATATACCTCTATTTCATATACATTTTCATCTGATCTACCTACCTGAATGATTTAAAATAACTATGATTTAAGTTTTTAATTTTATTTCTTTTAGATTTTTATTTTTAATATTGTACTTATATACTTTAATGTGTAAATATTTCATTCAATTTTAAATATATTATTAAAGTATGTGTTAATCTTTGCTTAAAATCTAACAATTAAATTGTTTTTAATTATAAACCTTTAACTATCTAAATGAAGTTTTTATTCTTACTACGTGTGTTATGTTTAAATTAGAAATACGTAATTGTTTGAACAGTATGTGGCTAAAGCTATTTTTTTTCATTACAGCTTCCACGCGGACGTAAAATACGGTACTCACCACATTGTTCCGCACCATCATCTATATTAGAAAAAGAAAATAATCAAATCAAAATATAAAATAAAAACTTAACAATTTTTCTTTTCTTTGTTTATAACGTAAACCTCATCTTTCATTTATATGCTGGGCATAGATTGTTAATGGAATGTTTCAGAAACATTCCTCAGACGATTTCTAATTAGTGAACCACGTTAGGAATAACCTACACCAAGTCATCCCGTGGATGTCGTAAGAGACGACAGAGGGAAACAAATCAGGCGAAGGCTAATAACAACTAAAAATAAAAAAAAACTGTGGTTGCCAAGCTGCTTGCTAAGTGTGGCAATTATGGCAAATATCTTCCGTATGAGGCAATGTATGGGGGAGGCCTTTCTTCAGCAGTGGACTTTAATAAGCTGTAACGATAACGGTAACGTAGTTCATTATATGCAAATTTTAGATTACAGAGCTAATTCTGCACAACGTTAATCATATTAGGGATCCATTTATTAGCTATTTTTTTAAATAAATCAATGAATAGGAATAACTAATTTTAGAACTGCTGTCTATGCGCAGTAACTATGCCTCTATAATAAGAATTCGTGTAAGAAATACAGCTTCTATTACGTGGTAGAGCCATGCTGCAGCTATATTAGTAGTATAGTTGTAGCACGAATGGGTCGGCTCGACCGGGGAAGGACCACGCTCTCACAGAAAACCAGCGTAGAATAGCAGCTTAACGCTGCTGTGTTTCGTATGGTGAGTGTAGAGAACCGGAGACCCTTTTTACTGGCAAAGAGGCATTCCATCTTAGTCCTCACGGGCGACAACGCATCTGCATCTTGAGTCTTTATTGAGGATAGATGTAGATGTCTATGGGTCACAGTAACCACTTACCATCAGGTGGACTGTGTGTTCGTTTGTCACCCTATCCTATAAAAAAAAAGCTTCACATTTACGGTCTTAAAACGAACAGCATCGCATTGATAAAAAGGATAACTCGGTGCTGTAATACATTCGAAATGTCGGGAATTAAAAGTTAAATTAAGCGCGATGGAATCCGTACAAATTAGTTTCATTTAATGTTTTTGCAAATAAATTGTATCGATAAAACAATGGGGCATTCCAGCTCGGTAGGAGTTCATGTATTTTTTTACATTATTAATTGGACCACTTTTTTGTCTTAGAGGATAAATATACAAACCTTTTTACTAAATAACTATCTAACCCGCTTCGCGTTCGAGTGATGGCAGCAATTCCAAATAGAATAATTTTTACAAACAGATTAGGAAGAGCATCATTACAAGTGTATAAGCATGGGCTACCATCAGTTTTTAATTATTAAGCTAAAACAGCCTTGGGTAACTCTGACGTGGAAACTACACACAACTCAGTCACAGTCTAACTACTATCTTAAGCTGTGACTTAGTCGCCCGCTGAATATGGGTACTGAAAATCCCTTGTACTGAAAATGTCGTTTAAAAGAACGTAAGCGAAATGCGATTAAATTCGTAAAAATTAAATATATTAGATAAAAAGTAACAGCCGACTTCAATGGACTTTAGAAGCTTTAGAAGTTATTGCTAAGACATTATGGTGTATAAAAGAATGAAAACCCATTTGTGTAAATATGTGAGAAACTAAAAACTGTAAACTGTAAACTGTAAACTGTAAACTGTAAAAAACTGTGAGATTAAAATTAGTAAACAGCAGTATATTGAAATAACATAATATAAACTAGAGTGTTAGGCAGAGACTACGGGTTTCCATTAGACTATATCCTCTCTCTCGTTTCTTTCACTTCTTTAATTAACCTAATGCCGCATTTTCTTCAATGAGGGAATATTTACAATAGATTGCAATCGTTTGGCTACAACATTATCAAATACTTTTGAAGGTACATAAATAATGTTCGGAACGTATTATACCAGGAAAAAGGCCATCTGCGTTAAGCTGTTAAGTGTATATGAGATAACACCGGCATGTTCTAAGAGCTGAATAACGATAATGATGATGATGCACATGTGTGGGTGTGTGCGTGTGTTAGTGCGTGTGTGTGTGTGAGTGTGTGTGTGTGTGCGTGTGTGTGCGTGTGCGCGTTTGTGTATGAGTGTGCGTGTGTGCGTGTGTGTGCGTGCGTATGTGTGTGTGTGTGTCTGACCGTGTGCGTGTGCATGTGTGCGTGCGTGCGTGTGTGTGTGTGTGTGTGTGTGTGTGTGTGTGTGTGTGTGTGTGTGTTCGTGCGCGTGTGCGTGTGTGTGTGTGTGTGTGTGTTCGTGTGCGTGTGTGCGTGTGCGTGTGTGTGTGTGTGTGTGTGTGTGTGTGTGTGTGCGTGGGTGTGTGTGCGTGCTTGCGTGCGCGCGCAAGCGCCCGTGTGTATGTGTGTGTGCGTGCGCGCGTGCGCGTGCGTGCGTGCGTGCGTGCTGCGTGCGTGCGTGCGTGCGTGCGTGCGTGCGTGCGTGCGTGCGTGCGTGCGTGCGTGCGTGCGTGCGTGTGTGTGTGTGTGTGTGTGTGTGTGTGAGTGTATGCGTGCATGCGCGTGTGTGTGTGTTTGTGTGTGTGTGTGTGTGTGCGGGCGCGCGTGCGCGTGCGTGCGTGCGTGTGTGCGAGCGTGCGTGCGTGTGTGTGTTTTTGTGAGTGTGCGTGCATGCGTGTGTGTGTGCGCGTGTGTGCGTGTGTGCGTGTGTGTGTATGTGTGTGTGTGTGTGCGTGCATGCGCGCGTGCGCGTGCGTGCGTGCGTACGTGCGTGCGTCCGTGCGTGCCGGCGTGCGTGCGTGCGTGCGTGCGTGCGTGCGTGCGTGAGTGCGTGCGTGCGTGCGAGCTTGCGTGCGTGCGTGCGTGCGTGCGTGCGTGCATGCGTGCGTGGGTGCGTGCGTGCGTGCGTGCGTGCGTGTGTGCGTGTGTGCTTGCGTGCATGCGTGCGTGCGTGCGTACGTGCGTGCGTTCGTGCGTGCGTGCGTGCGTGCGTGCGTGTGTGTGTGTGTGTGTGTGTTTGTGTGTGTGTGTGTGTGTAATTGAAACGCATTGATAATGTTAACTTTATCAAATACACGAAAGCACATGTTATCAAGTAATATTACGATAGCAAGTAAAGTTTCGGCTGCGGTGCCACCAACGTACCAAAATCTTTACTAACACTATAAATAATTTAATCAGTTTCAATTACCAGATTATTACTAGTTATTACTATCAGATAATTCATATCTCCTTCCATATTGTGAAGGTTTAATATCGCACCTCAACGTCTAGAGCGCTGGAGCTGGATGATACAGCACACATACATACATACAGCGTACATATTCTGTTATCATTCGTGAAGATACCTGGGCAAGATACCATCTTACATAATGTGTCTAAAGAACACAGTTAAGCCTACTCGTATTTATCCTCAAGTATAGCCGAGGCGCAGAGCTAACATCTCTCAAAAGTGCTTGATTGACTGATTGCATCGACATAACAATTTTGACATTTGTATTACCTAGTAAAACTCTAACCAGTTTTATGTAGAGTATATATCTAATGGCGTAACGGCTTAACATTAATTTCGTTAGATTGTTTAACAATCACAATTTCCGCACGAGATTTTACTATTAAACAATAAAATAACGTGAAATCTATTGGCCTTGATATTTTACTATTGATTTTTATATAAAAGACATGGAATTCATTTAATATAATATAGTAGTCTCGTTTTATTTATTCCATATTCAAATTAATTCATAAAGTAATAATGTTCTCAATTAATTCGGAACCTAAACGTTGGCCCTCGCTGCTGGCCGTTTGAGGCTGCTCAAAGTCACTCCGCATGCGATGCGAAGGGCTTTTCTCGGAATTAATTTGGGATGTACGAGTATAACGCAGAAGAACAAGAACTGACATGATGATAATGGAGGGCGATGTCATCCATGCGTCATACTTGTGAACAGGTGCTGTTTATGGGGACTGGTCTGCTTGCATTTGCTATGCACTGATAGGCTATAAACTTTCCTTTTTTGAGTTCATCATAGCACCTGTGCAACCTTATTCTGAAATGATAGTAAATTTGAAACATTACACTGAATTAGAGGAGTTTGTCGAAGTAATAAATATATTTAATTGGATAGCCCAGCGGATCAGTAAGCTGAAGTAGCATTAAAATAAAGCTCTAAAAACCGACAACTAATGCTGATATTAAACATTAGTGTTCGGGATATTAAATTCATGTACAAGAATATGCTAAACTTGAAGCAAGTTAGAAGGACGTTTGAACAAGGTTTCTTCAAAAATGAAATATAAAAAATTAATATAGCGAAGATACATACATGTAATGCAACGCAAAATAATGGCATATGGAAGTACTTGCAAGTCTCAAGGAAAAATCGTATTTAATAAATTCTGACTACCCTTACTTCAAATTCTTAAGTTAATGAAGATTTGTAATCAAGTCCGTTAATCCTCCATATCATTAATATGGGCAAGTCTTTAGTTCGAATCTGTCATATTACTACCGTCGTGAATCACTACTTGCATAATAAACGCTTAGTTTACGTATTAACGAGAAATAAAAAAGGTACCTGAGGTACGCCAGATTCTACGTAGTACAATTGCGATTCATAACCCCCCACCACCATCAACTGTGTTCTTTTCTCTAGGTATGAAGTAAGCCAAACAAGTAATGACCCATGAATTCCTGTGGCTTCAAGTTTGCTTAGTAACAGGGCATGGTTTACCTTATCAAAGGCGCTGAAAAAATCAGTGTAAATGACGTCCACTTGGCATCCTTTGTCAACCTAGCACGAAATGTGTGAAATAAATGAGATAAGGTTTATTTCGGTAGAACGGTCCTTTCGAAAACCGTGCTGAAAAATCACTTAAATTGGCTTGTTAAAAGATTAATAACAGATAAAAATTATTCTAAGTATATATATTTTTTTTTATAGAAGAGGGGGCAAACGAGCATGCGGCTCACCTGATGGTAAGTGACTACCGCCGCCCATGAACAACTGCAACACCAGGGGAATTGCAGATGCGTTGCCGGCCTTTTAGAAAGGTGTAAGCTCTTTTCTTGAAGTTTCCTAAGTCCTATCGGTCCGGAAAATTCGCTGGTGGTAATTGATTCCACAAAGAAGTTGTGCGAGGGAGAAAACTTCTTCTAAATCGCACAGTGGTGGACCGCCAATCATCCAGATGGTATGGATGGTACCGCGAGTTTTTTCATTTTATTTATTCAAATTCTGGATGAAAATATTTTGATATTTCTGTTTCGCCATTCGTTTTAATTCGAGATTTCATTTATTACCCTTAGTAGACTTACTCACTGGCGAAAACTTTGCCATAAAAATAAAAGTAGTTTTAATAAGAAAAAGTGATATACACTCTGTAAACACTAGGAATAAACACAAACACAACAACAAACAAAGCAAGCAACATTGATACCAGTTTCTCGACTCCACAGAGTCAGTAATTCAATTCATTCATGGGACAATGTATACGCTATTACAACAAAGTCCATAAAATATACAAGTTCTCTCTATTACAAAGTTTTAATAGTTTATTAAACAAAAACTTTTCACAAAGAGTTATTATAATATAAACTAGATGTTTCCCGCAACTTCGCCCGCGTGAAATTTATTGCGATTGGATTGCATGGGTTTTAATTGTTTCGCGCGGAACCCTTATTCTTTTCCTAAAATAAAAGTAGCCTAAGTTAGTCTTTATAAAATTAACTATCTACAAGTGAAAGTTCCATCCAAATCGATTCATAGGTTTTTGCGTGATGCGTGTTCAGATAGTCGTCGTGTTAGAGTTTTATTATAGTATATAGAATATAGATATAATAGATGAATACATGGTTGATAATAACCCCTGGGAATAAGGTGGTGGTCCAAGTTTTCTATTAAATGATATTGCTAAATAGTTTATACAAACTTTCTTATTGTATAATCTACTTTGAAAAAAAAAAGTCCTGGTGTGTGCAAAGTGTGTTATGTTGTCGTGTGTTTCATCCTGGTGCCGTTTGTTGGACCTCGATGTATTCGTGTGTGTGTATTTCGCGTATAACAAAAGAAAACTGTATTGTAAAATTGCATTCCGGACGTCTGGATTATCTGAAATTTTGCAGACGTATTAAAACCCATGATAACACAATAACATACACACGACTTAGTATTCTAACAAGATATTCACAGCAAATGATCAATGTGTGTAGTGTAACGCGTCGTCCTATTGCCATCGCTCGTGCGGTGATGCGATGCGATTACGTCGTCCGACGAATCCGCTCGCATGATTAGAAATCAAGTGTCCTATTTGGGAGCGTTGCGATCACTCTCGAAATGGCTCTTAACAGAAATACACAGTGTTTGCTGTCGAGCAATATCTCTTTAATAGTGAATAGCATTAAAAAAAGAAAATGTACACTACATAATATACTGTATAAAAACAGAAATCAATGCGGCGAATTTCACAATTAGTATTACGACACACGGCAAAACGAAGAAGATTTTTACGAAAACCCCTCTGTTGCCTCCGCCCCTTGGTCGCGCGAGTGCCATTAGGACATTTAGTAGTACTAAATGTCCTAATGGCACTCACGCGAATCAGTAGATTAGTATGTCTGATCGGACGATCGTCCGATCTATACGATGCGTCCATAATCGCACGACTAAAATTAGACAATTCAGTTGCATCGCATGATCGCACGACCTTCAGTAGGATGATATGTTTGAATGCACGGTCTCACAAACATTTTCGTCAGACGTATGTACGCATGATCGCGCCAGCGATGGCGAATAGGACAGCGCCTAAGTTTTATTTCAATTCTAATCACTGATGTAAAAAAAATACGGGCGTAACATTACATTCAAAATTTAAGAAGCACCCTACAACTTTGATTGCCATATGCAAGACACACAAATACATCAAAGTACGACAATCGGCGCCAATATTCTGATTTCCGCTATAAAGAGGATAAAATACTCTGTGGTTATGAGAGCTGCCGCGCCAGCATGCTAGCGCCAATTATCCATCCACAACAGGCTATAAAAGTCCACTGCTGAACATATAAAGGCAAGATTTTGACATAGTTGCCACGTTTGACAGGCGGGTTGGCAACCGCAGATTTTAATATTTTGTATTATTATCAGGAAGATGCTGCTGCCCACTTTCTGTTACAGTTTCCCTCTGTCACCTCTTACGACAGCCACGGGACAATATTGGGTAGTGGATATTCTTACACCGCCACTACACGGCCAATTGTCGGTGCTTGATTTATTTATGTGATTGTAGGACCTAGGTTGCTTCATAAATTTTCAACGTAATTCTAAATAACAGATTGTAAACCAAAACGAAACGCAAATTTTTTAAATTATGTGTTAAGAATTTGTTAGCTTCTTAAAACATTGCGCATATGACACGCGTGCAACGCACTCGTAGTAGTGAAATAAACTTTCACATTACTATTACAGTTCTGTACTATAACTGTCATAAATTTGAAGAGAAATCACACACAACCTTGATCGGTGTAAATTTTTAGACATAAAAGACGTAGAAACTGTGGTTTACATATCAATTAATTAACTGAACTCAAACAAGGAATACAAATACTTCTCGTTTTATTTTATATATATTTATTAAATCTTATACAATAAAAAGCATAACAATGTATTTCAAGGTAAATTAATAGCTATTATACTGATTTCTAATATTTGGATTAAAATTAAAATTAAAATACTGAATAACATTTATTTAGTATTGAACAATTTGCAGCATCTTTTCATTATATTAATTTTATTTTTCAGGAGATGTGCATTGCAGCTTTGGCCGCGTTAGCCATTACGTTAAGCCATGCAGACGAACACGCTTTCTCTTCAGCCCACATTTCACGTCACGACCATCACCATCATCCCGTACACCACGATTACGGACATCATCATGAGCACGTTGATTACTATGTAGGTTTTATGAACCCCTATTTCAAACAGAAAAAAGTAATGTAATAACCTGTATTTATACATTATATTGCTGGACGCAGGCGTTCCATTGTTTCAAAAAATATTTTGGAGCCCAGAAGAGTCCACCGGACTGTCTTAGTGCGTGATGGTATTCACGTATTCTAATGTTTTTCACATATTCTTGTTAAGTAGATGGTAGTCCTTTCTTACAGTAAAAGTGAATTTACTTCTTAATACGTCTCTCTTCTGGGAACTATATCTCCAAAATATTTTCAATTTCTTAGAAAGCCTTGCTCGTTATACGTTTTCCCCCGCTGTCAATAACTGAGTAAAGCATCTTCAGTAAATCAAGGTGATTCAGACGTACTCTCTTTTCTGAGAGGGGTCTGAGAGCATTTAGTCCACCGCGCTTCTCCAGTGAGGATTGGCGAAGTCTTTATCTAAGAAATCTTTTTATTCCTTAGGCAGAGCATGTGGTAAGTCAACACTTAAAATTACAACTAACAATTTAATTGGAGTGTGCTGGCGCAGATCAAACCCAGGTTGCTCGCGTTCTGTTAAATTTACGGCAAGTGCTCTAAATTTGTTTCCCTAGAGCTATCACAATACTCCCTTAGCCTGAGCTATCACGGCTCTCTTAGCTTCTGAGCTAAAATATGTGTAATTACACAACGTGAAATTACAAAATAAAAAAAAATATGTGTGTAACCGCCTAGGAATAGAAATAAAACAATTTCAAAGAAAATATAAATAGATGACGATGATGCAGTTCAGTATATTGAAATTACTTTTTACTTTCAGTCTCATCCCAAATACGAGTTCGAGTACAAAGTTGAGGATCACCACACGGGTGATATTAAGTCGCACCACGAGCACCGCGATGGGCATAAGAGTGAGAGTGGTTACTCTTGGCACGACCCCCACGGTACCGTTAAAGTGGTCAAACATGTTTCCCACCACTGAGACATCGATTTTTTTAGAAATTTTACATTAAACTAGAGTCATAAGCTTTTTAGACACATCAGATGTCATATATAACATATTGTATGTATTATAAAGGCCAATAATTATAAAGTTAACATTAACATTATATAAATGTACCTGAGATTATTCTGTTTACCTTTTATGTTTACGTAATTATTTTTAAGTTGGTGGCTAAAGAAATAAATCAAACAATATTTGACAAATATTTTTCTTTTAATTTGGAAGCCCCATTTAACTTTAAGTTAAAAAAAGCAAAATAAGTAATAAAAATTGAAGTGTCTGTCAATAATATTGAAAAACTGCGTTAAGTTAACAATCTTTTAGATTTTTCAAAGTGATTTCTTATATTTACGCGAATTCTTCACATTGAATTAAAATATATTTATGGATTTTATCGCGCTTAATTTACTTATTTTAATTCCAATGAAAAGTACAAGCCGTTCGACAATAAGTGTTCTCGAAGGGCTTAAATTTTGCATTAACACCGCGAAGAATCCCGTACTAAGAAATTATCTGTAGTGTTGAAGATTGCCTGTTTAAAAATAATATCGATAAGGGAGATTTAGAGGCCATACGTCAAGACATTTCATCCTTGTTACGTCCAAGTTCAGCGCCGAAACTATAAGTAGAAGTAGGGTGACAAACGAGCACACAGTCCACCTGATGGTAAGTAGTTGCAGTGGCCCATAGACATCTACATCTATCCTCGATTACGAATCAAAATGCAGATGTGTTGTCACCCGTGAGGACTAAGATAGAATGCCTCATTTCCAGTAAAAAGAGCCTTTGGTTCCCTACACTCACCATACAAAACACAGCAGCATTAAGCTGCTATTTTACACAGGTATTCTGTGAGAGCGTGGTCGAGCATGACTCTACCACGTAAAATGATACAAAGAAGCTTGGTAGATAGATGCAAAAATGCCGTGCTCAAAATGTTTTCGATTAAAACAAAGTATTTGGCTTAATAAATGAGACATAGGAGACATAGGTATAACTTATTTAACACAATGTCTAATAAAATCTTTAAAACAAGTGTGACTAAAAGGACACAAAAGTTTCATTTACTTTAGGTTAAAGGCCGGCAACGCATCTGCAATTCCCCTGGTGTTGCGGTTGTTCATGGGTGGCGGTAGTCACTTTTTTTTTTATAGGAGAGGGTGCAAACGAGCATGCGGCTCACCTGATGGTAAGTGACTACCGCCGCCCATGAACAACTGCAACACCAGGGGAATCGCAGATGCGTTGCCGGCCTTTTAAAAAGGAGTACGCTCTTTTCTTGAAGGTCCCTAAGTCGTATCGGTCCGGAAAAATCGCTGATGGTAATCGATTCCACAAGGAGGTCGTGCGAGGAAGAAAACATCTTATAAATCGCACAGTGGTGGACCGCCAGTCATCCAGATGGTGTGGATGGTATCGGGAGTTCTGCCGCGATGTGCGTTGGTGAAATTTGGCGGCTGGGATTAATCCGAACAATTCCTCAGAGCACTCCCCATGGTAGATGCGAAAGAAAATGCAAAGGGATGCAACATCTCTTCGCAGTGCCAATGAATCGAGCCGATCGGAAAGGGCTCGGTTGTCGACAATTCGAGCCGCTCTGCGTTGGATGCGGTCAAGTGGAAGGAGCTGGCACTGGGGAGCCCCTGCCCAGAGATGGGAACAGTATTCCATGTGAGGCCGAACTTGCGCCTTGTAAAGTAGCAGGCGGTGTGCCGGCATGAAATACTGTCCCGCTCTGCTGAGCACGCCAAGCTTTTTAGAGGCCAATTTGGCCTTCCCTTCCAAGTGACCACGAAACTGCACGTCACTCGATATGTCGATTCCGAGGATACCGATACTGGCTGAGGCAAGAAGGGGAGTGCCTTGAAACTGAGGAGATACGACAAAGGGGTTCTTTTTAGCGGTAAACGCGCAAACTTGTGTCTTCTGAGGATTAAATTGGACTAGATTTAGTCGCCCCCAATCCACTTACCATCAGGTGAGCCGCATGCTCGTTTGCCCCCTCTCCTATAAAAAAAATATGCCTCGTTTCCAGTAAAAAGGGTCTCCGGTTCTCTACACTCACCATACGAAACACAGCAGCATAAAGCTGCTGTGAGAGCGTGGTCCTTCCCCGGTCGAATCGACCCTTTTGTGCTACATCTATACTATTATTAATATAGCTGCAGCATAGCTCTACCACATAAATAATATCTCCCCAAAGACGAGTTAAAAGCGTTCTACAACTTACGCAACAGACGCTCACGATTCTCTGCGCGGATAAAGGAAATGCTAGGGTAATAATGGACAAGTCGGAGTACAATTTCAAAATATAGCAACTTTTATCGGATGTAAGTATATAAAAATGGTCAAAATAGACCCTACAACTAATAAGCACTTAAAACAACTACCGATTTAATAAAGAAATACTCCGAAAAATCAAATCTCAACGTGAATGCCAAACCACCGAGGTTGTATGGGTTACCGAAAATACACAAACCAAATGCTCCACTACATCCCATAGTGAGTTAGGTTGATTCACCAACTTATAAGTTAACTCAATACTTGGCAAAATACTGTCACCACTGAGCTAGGGCACACACAATGAATTCATACCATTTTGTTAATGAGACAAAAGACCTACATCTCGTTGACAATGAAACTATGGTCAGTTTTGATGTTCAGTCACTATTCACATGCTTACCTATTGAAGACTGCATCTCAATTATAACTAGGAAGCCAGAAGATAACAACATGCCTACAGAGTATGCAGTATTACTCAAACACTGCCTCTCATCTGGTTATCTATTGTAAAAGGAAGAGTTCTACAAGCAAGTAGACGGTGTGGCGATGGGCTCACCTGTATCTCCCGTAGTCGCCGACATATTCACGGAGGACTTTGAGGAGAAAACCCTTCTTATTGCTCCTGTAAATTCAAGATTGTACAAGCGGATTGTATATTATTGTTGTAGCACGAATGAGTCGGCTCGACCGGGGAAGGACCACGCTCTCACAGAATACCAGCGTAAAATAGCAGCTTAACGCTGCTGTGTTTGGTATGGTGAGTGTAGAGAACCGGAGACCCCTTTTACTGGAAACGAGGCATTCCATCTTAGTCCTCACGGGTGACAACGCATCTGCATTTTGATTCTTAATCGAAGATAGATGTCTATGGGCCACAGCAACCACTTACCATCAGGTGGACTGTGTGCTCGCTTGTCACCCTTATTCTTAAAAAAAAAAAAGCGGTAGGTAGACGATACTTTTACGATTTTACTATCTGAACTGCATTTTTAGACCACCTTAATTCCATAAACTCTAAAATTAAAAAAAGCACGACGTTACGGGAAGTCTGCAGTCTGTGAACATATTCAAGATCGCCCCCGCCATTACTATGGCTGGCCATATAACTCTAATAAAACGATAACCGATGGGGAAGAAAGGTTCTCAAATGGCAGCCTCGTACCAGCAGGAGAAGTGTAGGTGTCCCCCCACTATATTGAGTGACGACCTGGTCAGACATGCAGAATATCGATGGATTCAGGAGACTCAAGACAGTGCTTTGTGGCATTTCTTGGGGAGACCTTTGTTCAGCTGCGGACTTGTGAAGGGATGTAATGATTATCTCCTAAAGTATTAAGTAACAAAAATTTTTCTTAAGTCAATAATTGTCACTAATTTCTCACTAAATGACAATTATAAAAAAATTATGGTATCTTTGGGGAGAATTCCAGCTTGTGGAACGCCAAAAATTCACTACATGCATGCTATAATTACAAATTAATTTAAATAAACATGGATATCTATAAAAAAAATTATATCACAATTACAAAATTGTTTATAAGAAGCAAATTATTACCCAATTTACCCAAGTAAACCAATTAAAAATTAATTTAAAACAAATTGAACAAAATCTAATAAAATAAAAGCGAATCAACTAACAACAAAAGTGAACAAACAAAACCAGATTACTTAAAATATAATTAGTTTAAAAATCAGCAGATACGTAACACATAAATAACACATAAATAACCTTTACGGGTCGAGCCGACCTATTCGTGCTACAACTATGCTACTAATGTAGCTGCAGCATGGCTCTACCACGTATAAATAAATAAAATTGTTCTATTCACTGAATTTAAGCCCGAAGTTTTGGTTTAGGTAAATGTCTATGACAATTGTTTTGTTCACATTTTAGCCAGCGATGGATTTCGGCAGCAAAGGAGATCTCATATAGATAATGGTATAATTATCTCATGGATATTTCTCCTTTATAAACACTTCTTCAAAATTAATGGGTATTTCCAAACTACAGCAGCAAAAGGCATATGACTAAAAGACAACACATTGCGCTTATCAACTTAGGTGAAGCTGACAGACCCAGTAATTTTAATGATTACGAATATATCCTCATCGGTGCAAAAACTTATTTGGTTAATTATTAGACCGCAAAATTCAAGATAAAGATGGTATTTGTAGACAAAATTTGATACATCTTTTGCTTATATTTTCTTAAACGCACAGGTTCTATTATAACCTGAATATCCTATCAAAACTGTAGAGTCTATGTAACTGAGATAATTCCTCAGATTGATTAGGGACTTGACTGTCAGGTACCTTAATAGTACTCGACGTCACCGAAATGCATGAGATTTCTAGGGCTCAGTAATTCGACACAAAGAAAGAAAGTCGATATAAAGTATCGGATACATCGCACGGCAGTCCCTTATTTTACTTATCACTTTTTTTTGAATATGACATATAAGCGTAATTTGGTTTTTTTCATAGGATAAGGGTGACAAACGAGCACACAGTCCACCTGATGGTAAGTAGTTGCTGCGGCCCATAGACATCTACATCTATCCTCGTTTGCGAATCAAAATGCAGATGCGTTGTCACCCGTGAGGACTAAGATGGAATGCCTCATTTCCAGTAAAAAGAGCCTCCGGCCACCTGCACTCACCAAGCGAAACGCAGAGGTAAACCTCTACTTCACGCTGGTATTCTGTGAGGTCGTGGTACCACCCCGGTTCGGGCCGGCTCATCCGTGCGACAGCAATTCTGCCCCGTGGCTCTAACACTGTTAGTATTACGACAATTATTATTAAGAAACAGCAGAACTATAACACAAGTAATTAAACTATGTATTGCACGCTTTCACTACTCCATAACATTAGTTTTACCCGATAGAAAATAATTTAATGGCTGTTTTGAAATATAAAAATGGTTGTGACCTTGAACAAATACTACATTTTTTTGTATAAAATGTCATGCATTTTATTCAGTTCATATCAGTTTATTTGTGACGTTGGAGATATTAACATTAGCTACCCACACAGTAAATAAATATGTTCTCTCAGGTAATTTAGATCTCATTTTGTTAAATTTTGTCTTAAAAGCCACTCAACTCAACTGGTTACTTCGCTGGCTCAACGACTCAAACTGTGTTTGGCTTCAACACTAGAGCTTGCCACTGATAAAAGTGATATCGATCGATATCTCGTCAGCTGCTATTTTCTCATCATCTCTAGTTGGTCGAGCCGACGGAATCTACGAGCTTTCATTGCTCTGATTTTATTCATTTTAGCCACGAGTTCTTTCATCTCTTGTTTTTCAATAATATTCGTGAAAACAGCTCCTATGTATTATCTGCTCTAGGCATTTTAATATATCTAAAATATTTTTAGGTTCTATGCTTTGCTGCAATTCTTGCGGTAGTTGCTTCGCAAAACTACGGTCACGCATACTCATCAAACCACATCTCACGCCACGACGGACATCATGAAACCTTGCATGGTCACGATCATGGCCATGGACATAATCATTTGGACTACTTTGTAAGTAACTTTGTTTTAAACAGTTTTTTATTAATTTATTTAAAATCTTTATCACGCATAAAGTGTACAATTAGTTGACTCAATGCCTTCAGGCATTCTATCAGTTATCGTTTAAGAATTATTTGAACTTCGTTGTTATGAGATAATCATCAAAAACCATTTATTTTATCGGTTTTCCAAGTGTACAAAAAATCTTCCATGTTTTATCGGGTGTATTGTCAGTCGGATAAAATTTGGCATAGACCACTACTAATACTGATTTATAAACGTTCGTAAAGTGCCATCACAATCGGTCCAGCCATTTTGAAGATTTTCTCGAACAGGCAGTTTTATTTTATTATTATTTAAACATAATTATTACGTTTATTCTTAATAGCATATTTGAATAAATAATATGATATTACAGAAAGGACCTATATATAAATATTTTATTGAGGGGTTGTACAATGTATACTTAGCCGTTAGCGTGCAATCTTATCTAGCGTATGACCATATTTAAAACGTACGGCCACATTACTATGTACAGCGGCCCGTTAAAAATATTCTAGAAGCGGTTTGGGTTTTATGTTTATAAATCGATTTATTCACTTCTATTTTATTCGTGTTTGTGAATTTGTGTTGCATGTGGAGGTTAGTGTGCTCAGGTTTCAGTTTTACGTCTTGCTTTTGCCATAAGACAATAATCATGCTTTAGTTATAATTAGGTCTTTTATTTTCTATGAAATATACTTACTATTGTCTTTGGCATTTGAAAATTCAAAAAAAAACTGTCCATGTGGTGGCGGTTTAACAATATCCACTTTGAATACCAGCGTAAAATAGCAGCTTAATGCTGCTGTGTTTCATATGGTAAGTGTACCGAACCAGATACCCTTTTTACTGGAAACGAAGAGTTCCATTTTAGTTATTAGGGGTGACAGCGAATCTGCGTTTTGATTCCTAATTGAGGATAAATGTGGATAGATGTCTATGGGCGACAGCATCCGCTTACCATCAGGTGAACTATGTACTCGTTTGTCACTCTTATTCTTTAGAAAATCCACTACCCCATACCAGCCCGTGGGTTTCGTAAGAGGTGACAAAGGGAAACTGAAACATTAAACAGGCACCGGCGTTTTCACCCGCCAAGCAAATGAGCGAAACTTTGAACGTAGCAGAGCCACGTTGTAGCTATATTAAGGCTGCAGGCAATAGGCAGTCTCATACTGCTGTGTTTTGTATGACGAATGTAGAGACCAGAGACCTTGTTTTCTGGTAACAAGGCATTCAGGTGGACTGCGTGCTCGTTTGTCAACCTTACTTTAGTATAAAGACAAGGGGCTACCTGCAAAATTTCTTTAACCTTTTCTGCTCAGGTTAGAGTTTCCTCGATTAGAAGTAGTAAAAATAATAGTCGAAAAAATAAAAATAAATAAAAGTTTTCCTTACACTATAAGAGAAAGCCTAAAATTATTTGCGTAAATTGATTACTTCGATTAATTCACAAACGCAAACCAGTTTTGATAAGAATACTACCTACTAAACTACTTGACAATGTCATGCATTGAATGTACAACGTTGTAGCTCCGCGCACAGTCATCTGGTTCAAGTCTCAGTAAGAGACAATTTGTAAAATTTCAATTTGCCAAAGACAATAATAAGTATATTTCATAAAAAATAAAAGACCTAATTATAACTAAAGCATGATTATTGTCTTATGGCAAAAGCAAGACGTAAAACTGAAACCCGAGCACACTAACCTGCACATGCAACACAAATTCACAAACACGATTAAAATAGAAGTGAATAAATCGATTAATAAACATAAAACCCAAACCGCTTCTAGAATATTGTATTGTACTGTTTAAATAATAACTAATTTTAATTCAATTTAATTCAATTCAATCTGTTTGTAATTAATTATGATTTTAAATATGAATACTATAATAATAATAATTGTACTGTTTAAATAACTAATTTAAATTTAAGTGATCATATACTTAAATATTTGCACGTCCTAAACGGACAAAACATGTTGATCTTTTATTTAATTTAACAACTTATTTACCGTGTTTTATGCAAATAAATGATTCTTGATTCTTGATTCTTAAAAAACTTTTGCTTTTTTCCTGTTTACTATATTATGACATCTGTGATCATTAATTAATTTTTCTTCATTTATTTTTAGACACATCCCAAGTATGAATTTCACTACAAGGTAGAAGACCACCACACGGGCGACCATAAGTCTCAGCACGAGCATCGTGACGGTGATATCGTAAAAGGTGGCTACTCATTACATCAACCAGATGGCTCTGTCAGACATATCGAGTACCATGCGGATGACCACAGCGGGTATATTTTTTGTATATATGTATTAATTGTATGATTTGTTTATATTGTTGCTTTTATTTAACGTATACTTTTTGTCCTATCAGGTTTCATGCGGATGTAAAATACAGCACCCATCATCTTCATCACCATTACTGAAAATTTAAAAACAGATTCTCGATTAGCAGGTAACAATGCTGATCGTCTTCTTCAATGTCAAAATTTATGTTTATAGTTTTGTATTACTTTTAATTTTTTTTGTAATATTTTTATTAAATTTTAGTTAATATAATAGTTAATATTTTTTTGTAATATTTTTAGTATATATTTATTTATTTATTTGCTTTTTAAGGGAAACATACAGTACAATACTAAATTACACAATAAAACATATAAAAGTAATCCTAAAAACCAATGAAGTTTCCACAGATATCTACATACATAATAAAAGCTTGCCACCACAATATCATGTTGTATAAAAATTAAAAATATAAAAGTATAAAACTAGCTAAATGGTATTCATAAATTAAAACATTAAGTAGTAAGTAGTTAAAAGTAACATTATATATACAACTCAAAGTGATACTACCAATTATACATTAAGTTTTACAATATTTTCTTTGTTACTATCATATTCATGGTGAAATATATCTAATTTACAATATTTTAAGTTAAACTTTTTGCACGTACGAGATACAAAATTATTTGAGGCATACCTTGTTTTAACTTTAGGTAATGCGAAAATAGGTTTATTTCGTGCACCTAACCTGTGACACGCAAGATTCACTTTGCCTAAAAGTAGAGGAGAGTCGATGATATTATGAAGCAATTTGTACAACAACATTTGGGTATTGGTGGGGTAGGGTATTGCTGTCTAAGTTATCAATAATGGAGTTTACAGAAGAATTATATCGCTTTAAGTGACGCAGAAACTTATTGTTGATTGTTTTAATCATTTTAATATAAACTTTGTATTGAGGATTCCAACATGAAGAACAATACTCAAGAATAGACCGCACCAGAGTGTTAAATAGTAAGATAACTGTTGAAGACTTTTTAAAATCTTTTGAGATACGCATAACGAAACCTTGCATTTTATAAGCTCTTGTAGTTATGATATTAATATGTGATCTCAGTAACAACTTACTATCCAACTGAACACCAAGATCACGCAGTTCATTAACTCTGATTAGTAAATTTATTATATTTTTATATTTTTTAATTTATTCCACAAGATTTCTTGCATGCACAATGAACCTAAAATGTTCTACATAATTTTTCTTGCAGGTACAATGAAGCTAAAATGCAAACAAAACTGTCGTAACAAAACGTATAATTATTATTTTTGTTCAGCAGAATTATTATTCAATGAATTATTATTATGTTACAATAAATCACTAAAACATTTCTGTTTTTTACAACCTATTTTTTTCTTATATTTATAAAAGGTACGAACCCTAAATTCCGAATCTCAAAAAAATGGACTGCTCAAACAATACCGAGGAACTATTTCTGATTACATTACCACTAAAATTATCATTAACTATCAAAATTAAAATAACCATATAACTGATAATAGATACATACTGTATAAAGAGTTATTTATCAGCATACGAGTAGTAGTTATTAGTATAGAGGTTTTAGGATTATAACTCAATCAGTATCACCATAATTTGTAAATGTTCTGTTCAACAATTTATATTCACATACCAATTACTAAAATTTATTTATGTACGCATACATAGCTTGCGACCTTCCAGACCGCGGGCTCTATACGTAGGTCAATCAATAAGTTTTGAGATATACAAAAAGTATTCTAGGTACTATTAATATTTATTTTACATCTTTTCAAAATATTCCCCATCATGCTCTATACAAAGTTCCATTCGCCTAAACCAACTCTGAAAACACTTTTGCCATTCTTGATCTGACAAGTCGGAAATCGCTTCGTAGGCAGCCACGGCTTCTTCGGCGCTTGAAAGAAACTTGCGTTTTATTTTCTCTTTGACTCTTGGGAACAAAAAGAAATCACAAGGAGCTAAGTCAGGGCTGGAGGGTGGGTGACTTACACCAGATTCCTCAATAAATGCTCTTGTTCTAAGGGAGGTATGTGAAGAGGCGTTATCGTGATGCAGCATGATTCCCCGAAGCCCGATCTTTGGTGTTCTCTCCTACACAGCTTGAAAAACTTTGAGTAATGCAACAGTAGTATACCATTTAGAGTTGACTGACCTACAATTTTCCAGCATTGAGTCAAATGTCCGCTTCGCGAAAAAAAACCAGCCACCATTTTTTTGCCGACGTAGCGAGGTTTGTGCAGTTTTATCGGTAACTGTCCTTCTGAGTAGACCTATACCAATGATTGCCTTATATTTTCCGGATCATATTGATAGATCCATGTCTCGTCACTAGTAACGATTTCTGAAACACGTCTAGATGCCCCGTTTTCTAAATTTCATGGCACCAATCAACACGAGTCTGTTTTTCGCTTTCGAAAAACAAACGAGGGATCCATCGACAACAAAGCTTCCTCACTCCAAGATGTTGATGTAGGATGGTATGAATGCTCCTTGAACTAATTAATGCCTACAATCTTTTAGATGTCCGTATATGTGATTCGTGGGTCTTCTCGCACCAACATTTCAGTAGTCTATACGTTTTCCGTCGTAATTGCTGTTTGCGGGGCCCCGGTTCTTTGGTCATCTTTTAGATTAATTTTACCCCTTTTCAATTCAGCAAGCCACCTAAAAATTGTTGCACGTGATGAAACTGAGTTCCCTTATGCTAATTATAACCGTTGTAAACTTAATTGTTCGGTTAAACCAAATTTAAAATCATAATAAATTTAATATCGTAGTGCGTAAATTTTCACGGTTAAGATGAGATCGTTTTAAATGAAAAGCGCGGGAAGCGTTGCAGGAAAATTAATAGAACTTTGTTTTTTTTTTAAATATTGAGCAATTGGCTTATGGAATTCTATTTTTAAATAAATTTGCTTTTTAGAAACATATAACACGGATGCGTTCCATATTTAAATTTCGAGCATCTCAAAACTTATTGAGTGGCTTACGTATAGGCTAACAGCACTTACATCACAGAAAATAGATGATGTACGCATATACAACGTGTCCATAACTCAACATCAAGCGGGCACGGGGTGAGAGGGTGGTCTTACCAGCCTTAAATCATATCATTGGGTATTGTGGCCACAAATTCCTCAATTTCACAGTGATTTTTTTACTTCCTGGTCTTAAATAAACCTGCTATTAATTGCAGTCACAAATCAAGCAAAAAAACGTTGCTAGGTTAATTAAAATTAACGTGGTTTCTTTTATTCGTAGGTGGAAAGATAAGATCACCTAACTTTGACTCTTCATAAAAAAAAGATATACTGTACTACCCTAAACAAGTTACTTCAAGAGATGGCCCATTTATCCTAGATTTCAAAATAATGTAATACGTATTATACTTTTCATCTTTACACAATAAAATTAATTAGATGTTCTGAAATAAGACCTAAAATCAAAACAGTTCTAAACCTACACCACAGTAAATTAATTTCATCTATTAAATATTGAATTCAACAAGTGCAAATGTGACAGAAATGTTTTTGAATGAAACTAATAATGACTTCATTTCACGTGAGTTAGAGCAAGACAGGTAGATATGCTATTTCATGTGTTTGGCTGAAAGAGATAGTGAAGCTTTCGCGGTTGTTTGTCTTTTAATGGTCAGTACGCTACACTCCTTTGTTTAACTCGCATCTTTTGTATATGTGTTGCTTCCGTTTCCATACTAACGATTTTGACTTTGTGAAATTGGACTTGATTCTTGTTTGTTTACTGACTTGGCCTTCTTCAGGCCTTGTGATTGTGACACCTGAATATTGTGTTTTGCAAACTCTGCAGCCGTTAAAAAGCAGTGATTTGCGTTTTCTACGCTTCTTCGGGTAATCCGAATTATGCCTTATATGCGTACATGCACCTCATCTACGGAGAATGTGGATGTAATTATAGTGCCGCAGTCAGGCTTTATCGAGAAGGTACCCGAATGCCGAACATCATCCTGTTCACTGTGTTTTCGTCCATGTACATCAGTCCATGTTTAGTCAGTTATAATTAAGCTAACTGATATGGATTTTTTTAATGTTTTTCGTGGCTGGTATGAACCCCTCTCCCCATGTCGGCCCGTGCCCACTTAACGTTGAATTTCGGGACACGTTGTATTATAAAACACAATAATATCTATAATAATTAAAGTCTTGTACAAAATTATCATAGAGTACCGGTCCTCGCAGTATAGTGAAAAGAACGCTAGCTGCTGTGATGAAACAGAGGGGGTGTGAGGCGTCGTCCTAATTGACTATCAATTGTATGAGTAAACGATGCGATTTCATGACACGATGCAAAATATCGTGCGATGGTCCAACAGCATAGGACCACTGGGCGTTGACGATAGGCATCGCGCGATGGGCACTACGCGATGCTGCCACGCCGTCACCGCAACGCGACATTTAAACAATGGCTCTTTACTGAGATGCACAGTTTTTACTCTCTGAATTCTCTTAGGTCTCTACTCTTCTCTAACTTGACTCACCAGTGCCGCCTAACACCCCTTGCGTGCCGCGATTAGGACAGTTAAAAAAAGATTTGTAGCTTTAATTGCATGATCGTACGATCAAACCCATCGTACGATCGTTATTAAGCATTTCCTGTGCTCAAAGAAATGTTTGTGTTTAATCTCGTCGTGTGACTAAATCGCATGCCAATTAGGACTTAGACGATACAATACAATACAAACACTCACGCCTGTCACCCAGAGGGGTAGACGGAGACTTAGACTTCCATTTGGCACGATCCTGACACACCTCTCTCGCCTCCTTTACATCCATATATTTACGCATACACGCTCTTCGGTTAAGGGTACTCCTAATCTGGCCCATTTTAAATGTATCGCCAATTTGGTTGATAAATCTTCATCTAGGGCGACCCTTCCCGACTATGCCGTTCATTTCTGAAATATAAATTTGCTTTTTTCTACGTGACCAAACCACGGAAGCATTCCTATTTTAATCCTAGTTACAACGTCATCTTGCAAACCACACTTTTCTCTTATCACACTATTTCTCACCCTGTCATTCAGATTCAGCCCTAGCATACTCCTTAATGATCGCATTTCTACAGCATTTATTCTACTCTCATGCTTCTTTTGCCATACCCAACTTTCACTACCATACATTAAAGTAGGGACTAACACAGCACTATGAATTGCCATACGTGCCTTCTTTGACACATTCTGACTCTTCACAATAGGTTGTAGAGCCCACTTTACTCTATTTCCTGCGTTAACTCGTCGTTCTATATCCTTATCATATCTACCATCCCTGCTAAATAAACATCCCAAATATACAAACTCATCCACTTGCTCAATCAACTCCCCTTCTATTCTTATTTCACATAAAGTTTTACTTTCTTCTCTTTCAAAAACCATCACTTTCGTCTTACTTGCGTTCAGTTTCATACCCCTTTCTTTTAATCACCAGTTCATTAAAGTAACCATCATTTGCAACTCGGCCGCCGACGATGCAAATATGACTTGATCATCGGCGTACAAAAGGCATTTGACAGGTAACTCACCCATTCTCAACCCACATTCTTCAACTTTCAAAGTTTGCAAACAACTGTCCATAAATAGGTTAAACAGCTATGGAGAAGCTACACAGCTCTGTCTGACACCTTATTGAATGCCAAACCAGTCCGAGTAGGCCCCGTTGATCCTGACACAAACACTAGAGTCCCTATAAAGAGACTTTAATGCGTGTATCAGACCAGCGCTCAACCCAAATGAGGTCAGTGTTTGCCATAACACGTTCCTGTCCACTCTGTCATAAGCCTTTTCCAAGTCCATGAACGCACAAAAATGTTTCTAGTTTTTGGCCAAAAATTTCTCCGCAATCATGCGCATGGAAAAGACTTGATTCGTACATCCCATCCCCTTTCTAAATCCAGCTTGCACATCCCAAGTTTTTCCATCAGATTCTTCCATAACTCTTTCCATTAACACCTTAGCATACAGTTTACCCACAATGCTAAGCAAGCTGATACCACGGTAGTTTTTGCAGTCATGCTGCGATCCCTTTCCCTTATATATTGGGACTATAACGGCTTTGTACCAGTCTTCCGGTACCAGCTTCAGTTCCCAATATAATTAAACAAGGTGTACAGCAGGCCTGCAACCACACCCTCCCCAGCCCTTAGCATTTCGCACTCGAAATATATGTATGATATATATGATAGTATGATATGAATGTATGATATACAAGACTCACTATACTCTATCATATCCGGCTGCCTTACCTGCTTTCATGCTTTTCATTGCTTTCATTATTTCATCTACACTTATCTCCCTACCTCTCTCTACTTCTTACGGAATTTCTATTTCACTTACTTCAGACGACTCTTCACTCTTATACACGCTTTCGAAGTATTCCTTCCATCTCTTTAAATTCGAAACTTCATTATTCAGCATGCAGCCATTCTCGTCTCGTATAGCATTCATTCTAGGCTGTTTTGAATTTCCCCTGGCAGATATTACGAGCTTCCAGAATATTTTAATATTTGCCAGGAAGTTATCAGATATTCTTCTATCATTCTTATCTATCCTTTCTTGCTTTTTCCTTTCAACAACTTCTTTTACTCTCTTATTTATACGTCTAAAGTCTGCCTTTTTTCTTTAAATCTCATCATTCATACCGCCAGAGTTACCAACTTTGGTTGCTAGTAAATCTAGCCATGCTCTCTTCTTTGCTTCAATTTCCATCCGTACCTCATCATCTCACGACAACTTATTACTTTTCCTTTCATTCGTTCTCTTACTTACACCACATACTTCGGTGGCTGTATCCACCAAAACTTTCTTAACATTATTCCATACCTTCTTCAGGTCTAAATCATTCATACATAATTCATTCAACCCACTTATATTTTCCCTCAGTCTGCATTTATACTTCTCTTTCACACCTTCATCTTGTAACCTCTCTATTCTTATACGCTGTAACGCAGTGGTAGACACAGATGTCCGATGCCACCAACGCTTGAATAGACCATTAATTCGGCATAAGACCAAATAATGATCCGTCCCTACGTTGGACCCACGGTAATCCCTTGTATCAGCGCTCCTCATTCTTTTATCCACAATTATGAAGTCTATCATGCTTCTAGCATCCCCTCTTTCCCAAGTATACATGTGAATCCTCTTATGGCGAAATAAAGTGTTCGCCACAAAAAGATTCTTTTCGACACATGCGGTGAGGAGGTCTTCATCATTTTTATTTATTCTTTCATCGCCAAACGCCCCTAATATCCTTTCCTAACCAGACCTCTTCACCCCAACCCTTCCATTAAAATCTCCTATTATAATAATATTTTCATTTTCCTTACATTTCGTCAACACCAGCCTTACCATGTCCCAAAACTGCTCTCGGATATAAGTGGGCTTAGACATATCTGGGGCGTACTCCCCAAGCACGAACAACCTTTTAAGTCCACTTTCATTCGTATCCACAGCAGCCTTGGGCTTACACATTCATACTCTTACACACATTGACCCATTCTTTCTGAAAGGATGACACCGACTCCCTGGCATGCCCGCTCGGTCTCGTCTACATCAGACCAGTAAGCGGTATACATGCCATGTGCAGTGACATCCCTTCCCTTTCGTTTTGTCTCATTCACACATAACACATCTATTCCTCTATCATTCATCATTTCGCATATTTCATCCATCTTATCATTCATTGCTCCACATACATTCAACGTAGCCAGACGGGCCTCCGCAATCCACTTTTCGCCCCTCCGGGAGACAGGACGTAACGGGTGGCGAACCTCGTCGGCGGTTTTCCTCCCGGAGATTCTTCGCACCCCTGCCCCATTTAAGGGGCGTCTGGAACACGGGGCTATTTCTTTTAATTGTTGGCTCACCTAAGGGGTGGTAGATTTTACGCCGCTACCATACGGCGAGGAGCCGAGTCTATCGTTTCGGCTTTGTCGCTTGTTTAGCACCACCCGGGGGACACGTGTAGGGTGGGCCTAGGGTTAGGTGGTTGAAGCCCACGGACGCGAGCGACTCATCCCCCAGGATTTAGATTAGACGCATAAGAAGGAATATAAAAATGTACACTTCAAATGCCACCGTTACCGACAGATTGAGGTCGGAAAACTTCGATAGACTTAAGGTTGATAAATATTTAATAGCTGATCCATTATAAAGTGACACACTCTTATTTTAATTATTATCATTAGAAAATTACTTTATTTAGTGTATTAGAAACCTGTGTTAAAAAGGTAACAAACTGGTTAAATAGCAATATATTTATATGTACACGAGTGCATTAGGAGGAGTAATTATAATTAGGCACTTCATTTTTGTTACAAAGCAACGACGGTATATATTAAGCCAATCTATGGGCGAGGACTATGTTAATCAGTGGGCAGTTGATAGGCTGTAATAACTGACTTACTGACATAGATCCTTGGGGGACGCCTACGTTCTGCAGAAGACTTTTTGTGGATGATTATGATAGTCACAGTGTCCGTAATAGTAGCTGCATGGTCAAAGAGTCCGTTGTCTTACCTGCGGAAAAACTCGCTTAAATTTTTTCTAGTTAGAATTTTGAAGACTGAAATTTCGACAGTGTTAAGCTCATTAGATCAAAAACGTTGATTGGCGTTATTTGTATCTTATACAGTACATACCGTAGTATTTTTTTTAAAATTGGGAATAAAATTCATGCAATTAAAGTTGTAGTATAAATATAAATAATTTGTTTCTCAAATGTTCCTCTTTTAGTTGTAACTACCGACTCGCCTCAGCTCCGCTTGGTATAATGTGGCGTTATTTAGTTTTGAGCCGTGGTAACTCAGAAGGTTAGCGCTCGCTGTAAATTTCACAGTACGCGAGCAACCCGGGTTCGATCCCCGAATTAACAATTTGATTGGTGCTAAATCAAATTGTTAATTGCAAATGCTCTGCGGTGAAGGAAAACATCGTAAGGAAACCTCCATGTCTGAGAAATTAAAAAAATAATATTTCGAAGCCAGGTGAAGTCCGCCAACATGCATTGGAACAATGCGCTGGACACTTCCTTGCCCTAAAGCTCTCTCATAAGTGAGAGGAGGCCTGTGTCCAGCAGTGGGACGTAACTTTATTTTATTAAGTTTTAAAATTACATTAATCCTTTATTTTATAAAATTATCTAGGCTGTATCTTGTATTAATATCATTGATTTTAAAACAAAATATAGTCTAGATCATTTCTGGCATTGCTGTCTATCTATAGTTGAAGTTTCACCACAATCAGTTCAGCCACGAAGATTAGCCCGGACAGACAGACATACATATTTTTAATTTTAATAAAATAAGGACAGTACTTGTACTTTCACTATATAAGATACAAATCACGCTAATCAACTTTTTGACCTGATGACCTTGCCACTACCGAAATTCATTCAATATAAAAGCTCTGATACTTTCGCAATATTTATAAGTTCACAATCACCGTGAAAGAAACATGTTCTCTAAAGTAAGTCTTTTTAAAAAGTCTTATATTATTTTAATGTTTGATAACTTTTAAAAAGTTCTGTCTTAACTTTGAAGCCCCACTTAAGTCAATAATTTTCGAAAAATATTAACTATTGTCGAATCAAATTACAATTGTAAAAATTGGCTGATTTTATTATTACAGATTTTAGCTCTGAGCGCCGTCTTGGCAGTGTCTGCGGCAGGGCTCTTGCCTCAGCCACACTACTCATCTGCTGCAGCTGTCTCCTCACAGAGCATCGTGCGTCACGACCAACCTCAGGCTATTCACTCTGCACCCGTCGCCGTACACGCCGCCCCTCTCGCCTACCACGCTGCTCCAGTCGCCACTTATGCGGCTCCCGCCCGTTATTCCGCCGGCCATGCCGTGTCCTCTCAAACAATCTTGCGTCATGACCAGCCCCATGCCGCCATCGGAATTGCTCCCGTATCTTACGCAGCGGCACCAGCGCACTACGCCGCACCTATCATCAGCCACGCTGCTCCCGTGACCAAGTTTGTTGCCACTGCACAGCACGAGGAATACGTAAGTTAAACATTTAACATTGATACACTATTTAAATTACCACACTTCTTTAATTGTACTGTAAGCTTCCAGTCGTACTTAAATACGTATTTTTAATTCTAGGCTCATCCTAAATACGACTTCGCATACTCCGTTGCCGATGGACACACTGGCGACAACAAGTCCCAACACGAGAGCCGCGATGGTGACGCTGTGCACGGCGAGTACTCGCTCCTCGAGGCTGATGGCTCAGTACGCACAGTGCAGTACACCGCTGACGACCACAACGGGTTCAACGCTGTAGTCAGCAACTCCGCTCCCGCGCATCACGTTGCTAAAGTGCCCACACATTATCTGGCTCATCATTAAGTGACAATTCTGACCGACAACTTTGAATTAGTTATATAATTTATTTCTATTATTTCTATAGAAATAATAATTTATTAAAACTACTCGTTCTCCATTTTTATCGTTTTATTTAGTATGGACTATTGATCACAAATAAATACTACTAAATCCAGATTTTATATAAAATGACGCTGATTCATAGCTTTAAAAGATGAATACTACAATATATACTTTAACATGGTAGAGTGACACTGCAGCTGTATTATAGTTGCAGCACGAATGGGTTGCTGGCTAGTGCGTGGAAGTACCACGTTCCCAGAAGATACCAGCGTAAAACATTTGGTATATTTAGTATTGAAAACTGACTTAGGGAACAATATCATAATATCATAAAAAAAATGAAATACTTATTATAACATAATTGATTAAAACAATATAAAGTTAGTTATTGATTATTTCTTAAATATATTGAAGATTTAATATTGTACACCTGAAAATGGGTAGACTATGGAAAACAAGTTTACATTAACATATTCTTAAGATCTTATTTAATTTTACCTGTAGTTATGCAATGAATATTATTGATTTGATTTGACACGATTTGAAAAAAAAAATTCGGTTGGCCCTATATGCCATCTCTGGAACTTCCCGCTAATTTCAAATGCAAAGCGCTCCAAATTCCACATATTATGACGTTTTTATTACATCAAAAACGATCCAAGAAGAAATTTCAAAGTTATTAAAAAAAATACTTTTTTCGAAATATTTCGTTAACGATTTCTCTTCAACGCTTCAACCGATTTTGATGCGGTTTGCAGCAATCGACAACGTTTTCTAAGTTTAAGAGCTGATTACATTTAGGAACTGATCGTTACATTTGTTTAAAAGTAATTTCAAAAAACAATTCTTTTTTCACAATTTTATTTTTGTGATCTCTCAAAATCTACCGCACTGAATCGGTTGAAATGGTATAGAAAATCTATTTTTGGTGAAGCCAATTCAAACGCCGCCAAGTACGTTCCAATTAAAAGTTATGAGAGGGTTACATACATCCATACATAAACACACACACACACACACACACACACACACACACACACACACACACACACACACACACACACACACACACACGCACAAATATATACATATAGTGACATCCTCGTAGCAATAGTCAGAATAGCTTCCTAGTACCTCAAAACGTCGAGATGTGATGAAACTTTGATTTTCGAAAAGTATGGTGAAACAAATAACTTCCTAATTTTTAAAAATCAATGATTTTCATAGCCGGAACTTAATTAGAAGACGTGAAATCCGCCAACACACATTGATGAGAAGAGGCATGTACCTAAGAGTAAGATCTATTTAGTCTGTATATAAACTGCCATAGTATTCTCAAATTTATATAAATCATCATTTTGATATAATGATATAGGCCAAACTTAAGTTTACAGTGGAAAAAAAACGTTGTTCTATGCATCGGTTTACGTTACGGTTGATGGTGCAACTGCAAATTTAAGTTTTTTATTTGTTAAAATAACAAATTAATGCCTTTTAAATCTGTTCTTTAACTTGAGCTGTGAGACCTTACTTTTTACTAAATTTCTTAATTCTTGGTTAACGGAAATAGAAGCTGGAGCTGAAGACCTCAGTATTTGATGTTAACTTCAACTTGGTATTTTCACACACTTCCGAATAAAGGAATTTTAAACACAAATATATTGATGGACACGGGCAGACGTGTTATATGTGTTCCGGTTTTTCCTTAATACATTAAAAAAAATTTAATACTTTTGCTAGCCTTTTCTTCTTTTAAATTTTATTAAATTAACAAAATACAAAATTGACGCTTCAAAAACCTGCACCCCGATTCCCAATCGAGAATAGAATACGCAGATGTCCTTGGGCCACAGCATCCATTTACCATCAGTTGGACTGTGTGTTATTTTTTCATCGTTATTCAATAAAAAAAACTCTGAGTGACTAAAAGGTGGTTCCTAATAATGACATTGAACACTAATAATGTTGATATAGTGCAGTCAACCATAGCAAAGCCTTGGAAAATTGTAGTGGTTTTAAAGAAATAAACAAATAAAAGAGCATACAAAGTTTTTCCTTACCTTTATAGTTAAATGTCATCATCATCATCATCATCATTACAGCCTTTCACAAGTCCACTGCTGAACATAGGCCTCCCCCAAGGAATGCCACAAAGCACGGTCCTGAGCCACCTGCATCCATCGACTTCCTGCATGTCTCACCAGGTCTTCACTCCATCTAGTGGGAGGGTCACCCTACACTTCGCTTACCGGTACGAGGCTGCCACTTGAGAACCTTTCTCCCCATCGGTTGTCGGTTCTTCGAGCTATATGGCCGGTCCACTGCCACTTCAGCTTACTAATCCGTTGGGCTATGTTGGTTACTCTCGTTCTACTGCGGATATTTCTAAGTTTATCACGCAGAGACACCCCGAGCATATCCCTCTCCATAGCTTGATGAGCGACCTTGAGCTTCCTCATACGGCCAGCAGGGAAAGACCACGTCTCAGATCCGTAAGTTATCACTGGCAACACGCACTGGTTGTACAATTTCGTTTTCAGTTTTTGAGGTATATCTATCGAGAAGATGTGGCGTAGTTTCCCCAACGCTGCCCAGCCGAGTTGAAACCGTCGATTGACCTCTCGGTTGAAGTTGGACTTACCTAGTCGGACTTTTTGTCCCAGGTAAACATACTCGTCAACAACTTCGAGCTTAGTGCTCCCAACAACTACCGGCATAGGTGTGACATGGACGTTAAACATGATCTTTGTTTTGTCCATGTTCATCTTAGGACCTATCCGTTGGGAGACACTATTGAAGTCTTTGAGCACAGTGCTTAGGTCCTCCAGCGATTCTGCCATAAGGATTATATCGTCGGCAAATTGAAGGTGAGTGATGTACTCGCCATTGATGTTAATACCGTATCCAGTGCAGAAGCTTGAAAACGTCTTCCAATGTAGCGGTGAAGAGTTTCGGGGATATAACATCACTTTGTCTTACACCTTTCTGCAATTGAGGATAGCCATCGTAGCCCTACTGTACAAGCACTTCAGCACTTCGATATACTGATAGTCAACTTGGCACCGCTGAAGAGACTGCAGCACCGCCCAAATTTCGACGGAATCAAAGGCTTTGTCATAGTCCACATATGCAAGGCAAAGTGGCAGATTATATTTCTCTGTCTTCTGTACAATCTGCCGCAGGGTATGTATGTGGTCCATGGTACTAAAGCCTTTTCGGAAACCGGCTTGTTCGGGAGGCTAGAAGTCGACAAGTCTGCGTGCGATACGATTCGTAATGATTCTCGAAAACAGCACGTAGACGCGGCTCAGAAGGGAAATCGGTCTGTAGTTCTTTTAGAAAGGAGCGTTGTCGCCTTTCTTGAAGAACTAGACCACCGCAATTCTGCTCCACGCCTCCGGAGTAGTGCCACCATGGAGGATGGAATTAAAGAGCCTCTGGAGAACTTAACGTACCGGTTTTCCACCCGCTATCAAAAGCTCCTCTGTAATTCCATCCTCGCCCGGGGACTTGCTGTTTTTAAGGTATTCTAATCTCGCTCAGACTGACATCCGGGATATCTTCGGAATAGTGTTGGATAAGACTCGCTCTTGGATCGTTACTCACACTTGCGTGTGGCTCCAACGATGACGTATACAGCTGCCCATAGAACCTCTCAATCTCACGCAAAATTTCAGGTGTCCCGGAAACGATGCAGCCACTCTCGGTCTTCAGCTTTGACAGTTGGCTCTTTCTGGCAGACAGATCTCTGGCAAAGGCTTTGGAGCCTTGGTTCCGCTCGATCGCTTCTTCAATACAAGCTGTATTGAAGTTGCGCAAGTCCCGCCGCATGCATTTGGAGATCTGTCTGTTCAGTTACCTGTATGCTGTCAAATCTGTTGAAGAATGTAGCTTCATCTCCCGTCTAATAGCCATGAGACTAAGAGTGTGATCGGTGAGTTTTTGTGTTCTTCTGCGGCGGGTCTTACAGAACTTAACTCCGACCGCATGCACAGTTTCCACGAGCTTGTCATTCATATCGTCCACTTCATTGCAGTCTTCTAGATACTGAAAACGGTTTTTTAACTCGAGCTGAAAGGTTTCGGGACTTTGGAACAGAGCACGAGGGGGACGGAGCGTTGACTTCATTAGACGAGACCTCTCGAACTTAACGTTTAGGTTTAGTGTGCCTCTAACCATTCGGTGATCGCTACCAGTTTTCACCCTCGCGATCACGGAGACATCACTGAACAGTGGTCGTCTGTTCGTCATATTGAAGTCAATCTCATTTTTTGTCGAACCGTCGGGGCTCGACCAGGTCCACTTCTTGTGGGGCCGCTTCTGGAAGAAAGAGTTCATCATAAAGAGTCCCTCTTTCTCCATGAAGTCGGCCAGCTGCTCGCCCCTTGGGTTCCGTTGCCCTATTCCAAATTTTCCTATCTTCAGATTACCGTTCTCTTTTGTGCCTAGTTTTGCATTGAAGTCTCCCATTAACACCGTATAGCGGGTTTAGGAGGAATGCATGGCTCTAGAGATATCTTCATACATTTCCACCACCTCCTCATCCGGGTGTGCCGAGGTTGGTGCGTGAACCTGTATGACCTTCAGCGAATACCGATTAGTGATTCTGAGTATAAGGTACGCAACCCTCGTCAACACACTCTCAATCTTTACAACGGTGTTAACGATAGACTTGTAGACGATAAATCCGACACCTCCTTGGGACAGATGGTCGCTCTAGCGGTGATAGAGCAAGTTGCCGGATTCGAGGATTACCGTGTCCTTCCCCTATCTTCGGACCTCGGATAATCCTATAATATGCCAGCGTAACTTGTCTATCTCGTCTTCCTGCTCCACGATCTTCTTGTCAGTCCTCAGGGTGCGTGCGTTGTATCTTGCCAGGTCGAGTCGTCTTAGGTGGCAAACGAACCTCCACCGGAGATTCTTAGAACCCCTGCCCCGTCGTTACCATGGTCGCCACC